CCCATTACGCCCTTCCTCGGATTTCTCGGATCCCTTCCCACCCCATGCCTTGTCCCTGGTAGAAACCCTGTCTTGATTGTCAAAATCTGATGACCTGATCCCTTCTGATCCTTCCTAGATTTGTGCCTATACGCGGTCCTCCTCCCTAGTGCCCCTTGGGGAGGACTCCGCCATCCTTTCTTTCCCTTTCTGAAGGCTCAATTAAGGTACAACAGGTTTCGTGGGAGTAGCTAGCGAACAGTATCAGCTCTCACAAGTCTATCTGGCGCCCTTCTCTGAGGGTGAAGAGATACAAACGACAATGGTAGCACTCCAACGGAATGCTGGCAGGTCCCACGTCAAATAGCAGGTGAAATCCATGATCATGGTCTTTAAATATCTGCATATTTCTTAAAAGGATAGCGAGGTAGTGAGGCTTGGATGGCGGGATAGACAGGGCCACCTAGTGCCCTCCAGTTAGTATGAGGTTTGGGCATGTAGAATAATCTGGGCTGTTGGACCTGGTTTCCAACACACTACCCCATGGAAAAAAAGGGTCCCTTCACACAGGCCTGCTTTGTCAATCCCCTGGGTTGAAGGGCAATCAATGCTGGCAGGCCCCACAGTCTCAGTCCTCATTTTTTTTCCTCATTTTTCAGACATTCTTCTTTCAGTAAATAGGACGCTGGACCCGTTTTCCAGCAGGTGATGCTCCCCACCAATAGATGGAGCCTCTCCCCAGGTGTTAGTGGTGTCTGCTCAAATCAGCAGCACTAACATTGGTGGGGGCGTTTTCAAAAAAAAAAAAAAAAAAAAAAAAAACTTAAAAAAGATTGTTTTATGGAGTTCGACGAGGTCGGATTTTATGTTGATCTTGTGATATTGGATGTATCAAATGAAGATTTGGATTCTCCCAGTTACTACTTTGGATCGGATATATAGTATTATCGACTACGGTCGATTCCTTTTGATGTAAATATCTATGGATGTTTTATTTTTGTTTGACTGTGTGTCCAAGGGACAAGGATTAATGTTGGGTTTCACGTTTGGTTGAGACCATCCTAGTCGACTGACGTTTGCTTCGTGCTTAGGAGATCAGCGCCCTACCGGCCAGAGCGGCGAACGGACGTCGCTACCGCACCCGTCTCGGCGGCTCGTGGATTTATTTTGTGTCATCCCGAAGTTGTCTCTTCTCTTGTTTTTGGTTTTGTTTTACTCCTACGTGACATGGCCGGAAGGGCTCCTGCCTCTTCGCGTAAAAAGGCGGGAACCGATGCGCTCGACACCACCTCACTTTCAACGACCACCACACCCCCTCACAAACATCCCTAATAGTCATCAAACAGATAAATCAAAACAGAAATACAAGCACTATGGAAAAAACACTAGAACAAATCCAGACCCTACCTAACGGAAAAGAAGAAAGTATTTAAAGGTTCTCAACCAGCAACTTAGGTAGCAGCAAATTAGGCTCAATCGAAGGAGACAGACTAAAATGAACTATTTGGTTAATCTGGCCCTCGACAATTAACCAAAAACATAACCCCAACCACGCACAATCCACACCCCAATCCTCACCGCAACACAACTCACCCACACACGCACTAATCACAACAGAACACGAAACCAACTTATCTTCTCCACATTGTCTACCAACTCACCCCAGATACACACAACACAAACTAATTCCACACCCTCCAACTGAAACCCAGCCCCGTCTCAGTCATGAATACCCTTGCATACCCCATCTCGATCCACAGATCTACCCCCCTCCTTTCAGATCTACAAAACTTCCCCCAACTCACAGACCTCCCCATTACCCTCCTCCCCTCCCAACCACCATGCATAGCAACAGAACAACCTTAACAACCTTAAAGAAGGCACAGCGAACCGAAAGTCCACTATGGCCAGGGAACTCAACATTATCAAGATCCCTATCCACTAGATCCAAAAAAGAATAGGACACACAAAACCGCAGTGTTTTAACACGACAGCAGTAGAACCTAAGTCCAAGCTCCTAGGGTTTAGCGTTTTAGAAAGGGGACAGCAAAGGGCACACCATACAAAGTCCAAATCTTATAGCATAAATCTGGCAGCCAAGAGACTGAGAGGAACAAAAAGTGGCAGGCCTCTAAGTAAGGTAATCCTAAGGGGATAAAAGTTTTCTATCAGTCAATCTAAGTTTAGCCGTAGAAGAACTTAGCAAATAGGCTAACTTAGGCAGGGTTGAGGGGTGGTACATCCTTTGCAAAGGAAGTAATCAATGCCGTCCACTTGGGCCTCTCAACCATAATGAGAGGAGTGTTGGTGAGTAAGTAACGTAATTTTTTTAATTTTATTTTTTGACTTGCCGGTGGAATAGGAACCAGACTGACGCTGTCCTTCGGGACATCCGTTAAAATTGGAACGATACAGAGAAGATTAGCATGGCCCCTGTGCAAGGATGACACGCATAAATCGAGAAATGGTCCAAATTAAAAAAAAAAAAAAAAAAAGGAACCAGACTGACGCTCCCCTCCCAGTCACCAGGCATAGCAACAGAACAACCTTACAAAAGGCACAGCAAACCGAAAGTCCACTATGGCCAGGAAACTCAACATTATAAAGAGCCCGATCCACTAGATCCAATAGAGAATAGGACACACAAAAACGCAGTGTTTTAACGCGACAGCCAGTAGAACCTAAGTCAAAGCTCCTAGGGTTTAGGCCGCTAAGTAAGGTAATCTTCAGGGGATAAAAGTTTTCTATCAGTCAATCTAAGTTTGGCCCCAGAAGAACTTAGCAAATAGGCTAACTTAGGCAGGGGTGAGGAGCGGTACATCCTTCGCAAAGAAAGTAATCAATGCCGTCCACTTGGGCCTCTCAACCTTAATGGGGAGGAGCGTTGGTGAGTAACTAACGTAATTTTTTTTTTGACTTGCCGGTGGAATAGGAACTGGATTGACGCTCCCCCGAATGGAAACGGTTCTGTTCAAAAAAAGAAGAAGAAAAAAAAAAGGAACTGGACTGAGGCTCCCCAGAATGGAAAGGAGCCAGAACCGTTGTAATGTGCACTTGTGCGGAGGGGTTTTGAGAGTGTGATTTGGCATCTTTTTGTGACACTGTGGTTCAGGGAACGGAAATGCCAGGATGACAAGTGTTTCCGTCTGCCTGTTGGGATGGTGAATGCGTGTTGTTGCTAGTCCAGAGATGGACTGAGTTCAGATCCTGTAGTTTATAGTATGTCAGGAGCTAGTTTCACAAGCACAAAGAAATGGACATGAGTAGAATTGATCTGATTATAATCCAGCATTCTATTTTTGTTTGTTGCTACTTCGCACAGGGGCCATACTAGTTTATTTGCACTATTCCAATTCTCACAGATGGCCCAAAGGAAGGGCTATGCCATTGTTGACATATGATCTTGCCTATAATTGTGGCTTTTATGGTTGATTGCCCGCTCATATGTCCCGAAGCTATTGCTAAATCTCCTAATTAGGACTGAGCAGAAGTCTGCTCTATGGTATTGATCAGTGAGTTTATCCTGTACACAGTGCAATAACCCATGCAGTATGCTTCATGGAATGTCTGAGGGCCTTACCAGGCCGCACTCAGACCCAGGCCGAAGGGGGAAAAGAACCCCACGTAAAGATTCAGGGCCTGGACGAGTGACAGTTGACTAAAGTCAACTGTCGGACACCCGACAGTCAAAGTCAAAGTGTACCCAGCCCAGGCCGCCGGTCAGACGCACACACGTGTTTGTATGCAGGTACCCAGACAGCATCAGGACCAAGGGGAGTCTGCAACTGTACACAATCCAGGCCCTCGGCTGTGATTCTAATCTGTACGACTGTGGGTGGGGGACTTGAGACCAGACAGCCTCGTCAAATGCTACATAAGGCTTGGTCTCCAGGGAATCAACATTCAGTCTTGCTATGCTGCCAACACTGGCTTGACTCTGGCTGGTCGCTGACGCTGGCTGGATGCTGGCTGGACACTAGGTGGACGCTGGCTGTGCGCTAGTACTGTGGACAACGACGTGGGACTGTGATAGCTTGCTAGCACCATCTGTTCTGTGCGCCAGGCATTGCTGACGGGCCGCTGCCACCTGCCTACGTTGCTGATGTGGCACATGCCGCCTGTCTGCATTGCTGATGTGGTGCATGCCACTTGTCTACATTGCTGATGTGGCGCATGCCACTTGACTACATTGCTGATGTGGCGCTGCCACCTGTCTACATTGCATTGCTGATGTGGCGCTGCCACCTGTCTACATTGCATTGCTGATGTGGCGCTGCCACCTGTCTACATTGCATTGCTGATGTGGTGCTGCCACCTGTCTTCATTATTGATGTGGCGCATGCCACCTGTCTCTACTGCTGATGTGGCATTGGCCACGCTGTCTACATGAGGTGACTGGTTACGACAAGGAGGGAGATCGGGATCTGTGGATGATTGGGAGTTGGTACTCACCTGAGGATGACGTCGATACCATGTACTGCTGTTGTCTTCATGGTCTCCACGAGATGTTAGTGCCACGTGGCATTTCTGTGTGATCAGGACTTATCAGACTTGTGACTGTGTATTGATTGTTGACGTGGAGGCGAGGGGAAGCCCGGAGAAGGAGTGGGAAATGATTGGGCTACTCTTGTGTGGTCATTGATTCTCTCTTCCACCTTCTCCTCTGTCTATTCCCCCTCCACTCCCTTCGTCTGTTGGTAACGAGTTATTGTTTCAGATATCACTTTCACGTTAACTGGAGACATTGTGCAGATCTGAGTCTGCTTGTGCTTCGACGTCTGACGAGTATCTTCCAGTCTGGGTTCAATACAACAGCATTTCAGGAGCTATTTTCTAGCGCCTAATCACCGCTCCATATCTGCTGCAAGCATTTGATAAATCCTCAGACTCTGGTGTGGTATCTCTTGGCTACAATATTGGGCGACACTGTCATGACTAAGTAACGGCTGTGTTGAATGAAGGTTGAATGTGTTGTCCAGTGACCCAGTTCTGACGACATACTCATGCCCACATGACTCCAGGTTCTGACGAGGGGGAGCCTATCAAGCTTGGCCACTGGCGTAGGAGTGGCCGAGGGAGGGTCTTAGTTTGCGCCCAGTCCAATGCAGCAGTTGATGAGCTTGTGGCGAGAATATTCAAGTGGTATGGGTTCTCACCCTTCTTCCTCCCACGCTTCTCTTCCCGCCTCCCTTCCTTCTTCCCTCCCTTCTTCCCTCCCTTCTTTCCTCCCTCTCACCCCCTCTCCCCCCCTCGCCTCCCGTGCTCTCCCCCTCCTCTCTCTCACTTTCTCTCCCTCTCTCTCTCTCTCTCTCTCTCTCTCTCTCTCTCTCTCTCTCTCTCTCTCTCTCTCTCTCTCTCTCTCTCTCTCTCTCTCTCTCTCTTCCCTTCCCTCTCTTTTCTCTCTCCCACTTCTTTTCATCCTCTGTCTTCTCCTTGTTGTAGTCTTTGTTATCTTGTTGTTGTTGCTGTTGTTGCCATGGTCGTTGTTTTATTGGGATTGTTGTTGTTGGTGTTGTTGCCATGGTCGTTGTTTTATCGGGATTGTTGTTGTTGCTGTTGTTAGTTATTATCTCTCCCCCTACTAATGCTTATGGGACGCGCGCTGTGTACGTGGAGGCCGCTGGGGGGTGCCGACCGTACGATGTGTAATCTACGGCTGTCATCTTGCATCCAACTTTCCACAATGTCTAAATATCGGCACATATGTGATTTGCCACGATCGCGGCCAGCCGTCAGATGAAAGATTGTGAGACGTCCGATGTGAAATCTGACGCGCCTGTTGCGGCGCGGAAATGTGTTTGCAAAAAAAAAAAAAAAATGGTGAGTGGCCCGTTTTCAATGCATTTGGTCCATATACGAGGCTGGGTGTAATGGAGCGATGCCCTTTCTCGAGTCAGGAGATCCGTGCTGTTGAAGCTTTGAAGAAAAAAATAAAAAAGGAAACTCTGAAGGGACGCAAAGGTCTGTGCTTTGATCGATGTGCTTGGGTCTGTTTCTGGGGTACGTTCATTTGTTCTTTTTTACTTTAGGGTGCGGGGTCTCTTTCCAGTTGCGAGCAGTGTGCACAGAAACAGCCGCTTCCTGCGGCCGTGAAATGTCAGGGGGAAAAAAAAGAAAAAAAGGAAAAAGGAAGTCAGGCCGGCCCACCTACGTGACCGGCCTGCCCACCTACTCGACCTGCCTGCACTATTGGACGTATCTGCCCTAGGCCCCCTACGTGCACAATCGGACGAGCCTACCTTGCGCGACCTACCCTACACGACCGACTGCACTGCAGATGTCGCTGCCCTGCGCAACGTACCTGCACTGGCGGACGTGCCTACCATACGTGACCCGCTCACGCGACCTCTCTCTCTCTCTCTCCCTCCCCCCTCCAGCCCCCTGCCCCACCTCCTCTCTCTCCCTCTCGGTGCTAGATGCTTCGGGCTTTGGTGCTACGGGAGCTCGGTGCTACGTGCTTCATGAGCTTGGTGCTACGTGGTTTGTGAGCGTGGTGCTACGTGGATCTTGAGCTTGGTACTACGTGCTTCGTGAGCTTGGTGATTTGTGACCTTGGTGCTACGTGGTTTGCGAGCTTGGTGTTACGTGAACTTCGAGTGGCGTACTGCAATGTGTGCTTGAGGCATTGTCCACTTTTGTGGAACTTGGACGACCAGGCTACATCGTGACCGAAGGATTGCGCGTTGATCGTTGTCGGCTGGAGGTTTAGTTGATATGGCGGACTTAAGTGAGTCTCCATTTCTCTTACCTCTCCCTCCTTTGACATCTCTCCTTCTTCCGTCCGCCTGACCTGCACTTGATCTCCGCCTCACCTCCATCTTCTCTCCGCCCTTAGTCCGCTGTCCTCTTTCCTCCACTTCCTTTCTACTCTCAACCTCCAACTGACCATCGGCCGTCTCTGCCCTCTGGCTTCTTTCTCGGACATTCCCCCTCCCTCGGCCCTGATGTCTCCCTCGCTCCTCCCTTCCCTTGGCCCCCTGTGGCATACTCCGTACCACACGGGCCCAGCAGAGCCCGACCTGGTAGACTAAGGGTCCGTAGGGGTAGGGCCTGTTTCAGGCCCTGTGTCGTTTCGGCCTCCAGCCTGAAAACGACGGGCCATTTTCCAGGCCCTCGCAAGATTGATCTGCCCTGAAACTCAGGCACCAGACCGGGGTTTTAGCTCAGGCCAGTATGGCCTATTTTGTGGAGCGTCAACCCCAGGGTCTGGCATGTTTTGGCATAGGCACGAGCAGCCTTTCGGACGGGCCAGCACTATATAATGCTGACCCGCCCTGTAGGCTGCAGGCAGTTCCTAGGCACTTCACGTGCAGAAGGCAGGAGGTAGTCTTCAGGACTCAGCAGCGGCACTCTGGAGGAGTAGCAATAGCAGTAGTTTTCAGCGCTGGGCGCTAGTAGGAGAGAGAGAGAGAGAGATGGTTGGTGGAGGCCAGGGATACTCACCTGCGGCGCCATAGCTCCAGCTTCGTCTTCAATGTACCTGCAGCAAGGCGCCACCATCACAGGTTAGTATCGGACACACACACACAGAGAGAGAGAGAGAGAGAGAGAGAGAGAGAGAGAGAGAGAGATTGAGTTCTTCTTCTTCCTCTAAGTCCACCATCTTTTCCTCACCCTCTTGCTCCCTCACTTCTCTCTATCTGCCAGCTACGCGCGCGAGCGCGCGCGCGCGCGCGAGAGAGAGAGAGAGAGAGAGAGAGAGAGAGAGAGAGAGAGAGAGATGGGCGACATTGGGATCTGACGACATTGGGGGTTCAGACTCAGCATCAGGATTCAGACCTTTGGCGAGGGATTATTTGGGACTGTATCGAAGACTTGTTGTTGACGACACTTCCATCTTCCCCCTCCCCTTCGTCTAATCCCCCTCTCCTTCGACTGTGTATGATCAGGGGACTGACGCATTCTTCCTGTGTGCGCGTCAGCCCCCTTCACACCATGGAATGATGATGATGCATGTTTGGTCTGGATGGCAGCTTGATTGATCGGATCATTGGTATTCAAGTCTTCCGTTGTGCTATCTTGTATCTGGCGAGAAAGATCGGTTCTTGGTCTGGTCTGCACCGTTATGGTATGCAACAGTTTGGTATCGGAGCGGATCTTTTTCATCAAGATCCGCCCAATCAAGTAGTCAGCTTGCTTGATCTATTGATTGATAGATTGATTGATTGATCGATTGATTGATTGGTTAGTAAATCAAGTAGGGTTTCGTCAAAATCTCTGCAAATCTTTTTTTTTCTTTTTTCTTTTTCTTCTCAACTTCGGGTATTAGCATTTCGTTTCATCTGAAAATTTCTGATATTTGCATTTCGTTTTCACGCAACAAAGATCCGAAAATTTCTGATAAAAACATTTCGTTTTATCTGAAAAGTTCCGATAGTTGCACTTCGTTTTTTTACGAAACAAATTTCCGAAAATTTCTGATAAGTAGCATTTCGTTTTATCTGAAATTTTCTAATATTTGCATTTCGTTTTCACGCAACAAATATCCAAAAATTTCTGATAATAACATTTCGTTTTATCTGAAAGGTTCTGATATTTGCACTTCGTTTCTTTTATGTAACAAATATCCGATTTTTTTTTATGGTAGCATTTCGTTTTTTTTATATTAGTATCCGAAAATTTCTGACGTGAGCATCTCGTTTTCTAGGCATATAAGGGTTACAATAGGAGGTTGTCATATTCGGGAAACGAAATCTACTCTTTTCTGAAAATCGAATCTCCATTCTATTTCGCAAAAAGTTGGTCTGTGAAAACCGAAATTTTGCGAAGCCTATCAGCATTTCGTTGCTAGGCACAATAGGAGATTGTCACATTCTCGAAAACTGAATTTATTTATTTTTTTACTGAAAATTGAACCTTTATCCTACCTTGCCTAGATCTCACTCGTAGCATTGTCCATGAAATGCCTCACTGATAACAGATCGACAGATATACAAAAAAAAAAAAAAAAAAAAAAAGGGGGTGATCCGCTTCTTTTATCTTTTATTTATTATTATTATTTTTATTCTGTTGATTAGGACTGGCATGGAAATTGCAGTTTGGGTGCTTGGCTGCGTTTCCCTCCCACCCAGCCCCGTGTTTGTTTTCCAGCTTGGTAAGTGCCACGCCAGCAGTGCCACGTCAGTTGCAGGGTCACGACAGTGCAGTATCACTTCAGCAGGGTCACGTCCGCGGTACCGCATCATCAACACCGTACAGCTAACTGCAGCTTATGCTCCGACGCAGCAACCGCATCGCAGCACGTGAAGGGCGGGCAGCCGCAGCAGGACAGCAGCTACCTCTGCCCCACCCCTCTGAAATGGACAACCCCACGGTGGACAATGCCGCATCCGGCAGTCCACGCGAGGCGTGCAGCTCGAACCCCCCGGCCCCACAGGCCCAGCAGGAGGGTTCCACTGCGACTTCTGTGGGAACCCTCGACGCTGCACCAGTCCGGCAGCAAGGAGAGACCATGACGGCCTCCCTGGTCCGCCTGGGCACCCACATGCAGCAGGTCCAAGAGGAACAGCAACGTGAGGCGGCAGCCGAAGCGGCACGCCTCAATGCCATTGCACGCGCAGAAGAGCAACGACGCCGGCAGCTAGCTGACGCAACTGCCAACCACAACAAAGCTCGAAGAGATGCCGCGTCTGTCCTCGTGCAGCAGGAAGCCGCTCATACCGCAACACTCCAAGCATGGCATGTTGATCCGGCGGAAACGATGGAACCAACTGTGGAGGACCAGACTAAGTTAGCTCTCGCCAACATGATGCACCAAGTCATCCTCACTTGTAACTGGCAACAAGTAAAGCTGGCTCGGCAGGCTCGTACCATCACTGAGTACGAGGAGACTCTCAAGAGCCTCCATGCCCGCCTTGACGTGCTGGAGAAGGATGACGTGCCGCACAGGCACACGGCATCGTCAAGCATCAATCCATCGATCTGCGAGCTGGAAGAACGAATGGATCACCTAGTCGCGCTTGTCGGCGATTTGAACAGTTTCGGACATCTGACAACCATCAGCCAGCAAATAGCCGCCCTACACTTCAGCAGCAACCAACCGGGACCTGCAACAACTTGACGCCTAAACAGTACAAGATGCCGAAGTTCAGCATCGACAAGTTTGATGACTACCACAAGGCGGACCCCATCAGTTGGTGGCAAGGGTTCAAAAATGAGCTCTCCATCCACTTGGTCCCGTCAGAGTAGAAGATCTCAGCACTTTACCTCTGCAGCACCGGTGCCAGCCAAATGTGCCTCAACCACCTGGCTCAAACCGAGGGCGTCGAAGTCTCTAAGCTTTACACCAAGATCACTTGGGACGCCATGACTGAGAAGTGGCAGAAACGCTTCATCGTCGACGACGCTCAGGGCAAAGGCGTGAACCGGATCTTCAACATGCATCGAGGCAGCCAGCCAACACGCGAATGGCTAACCGAGTGGCAGAAAATCGTGACGATTCCGAATTTGGACATCCCATTCGTACATCTTCGTCGCGAATTCTTCCAGCGGTCAGTTGACGCGGTGAGCACGGCCCTTGGGGAGCGCAGCCTGTACACGGACTTGACCAGATCGTGGAGAAGGCGCGCGAAGTCATCCAAACCGATCGGTGGGCAGCCAACGAGTGGCGAAGTCAACCGACTTTTGTGGAAAAGGGCAAAGGCCCGTGGCCGCAGCAAGTCGCTGCTGTCCAAGGAAATGGACAAGAGAACGACCAGGCGACTGACGAGTCTAGTGAAGGAGACGGGGTCAACGCCCTTCCGCCACGACGCAACAACAACAACAAGAAGAAGAAGGTGAAATCTGCGTCAACGGCGGAAACCGGACAGCCGAATGAGCCATGGAAGAAGTTCAACCTCACGGAGGAGCAATACAAACTCCACCAGAGGTGGAGCTGTTGCTACTGGTGCAACAGCACCAAGCATACGACGTCGCAATGCCCTGACAAAGGCAAAGAAGATGTCCGTCCACGGCAAAGCTCGGGAAACTGAGCTTCACGGGAAGTGAGGCGACTCCATTTCCTACTCTGTCGGACACGGTTGCCTTGCTAACAACCTCCTCCACGTCCGGGGAACACGCGTATGTCGCCAGTCTTCACGAAGATTATGAAGACTATGCTGTCCAGCTGGTCCCGCCATTGGACCAACCTCTCCATGTGCAAGAGTCTTATGCGTGCGCGACTTCATCACTATCGCCAAGTGAACCAGCACCATCGCCAACAACACTGGGGGACTCGTCGGTGTGTGATCTCGACCCATTGACACCGGAGGACTTCCAATGGTTGCCTCTTCCCCCATCTGGTTCCTTGCCGAAGCCGCATTGCAACGCCCTAATGGCGGAGTTACGCAACTACTTGCACGCTGCAGTACTATCTCCGTTGATGGAAGACGGAGTTGCGGTTGTTGACCTTCGCGAGTACATTGCGAAGATTGACCGTGAGTATGCCACGCAACGGTACGACGACACCGACGCACCGTTACTCTATATCCGCATTCAAATCGGGAAGGCGACCTGCAGCGCCTTGATTGATTGGGGAGCTACTCGCAACTACATCAGCCAGGATTTCATGACCCGCGCCGGCCTTGGGCCGCGCGTTCGAAGGGAATCGCAGCCCACACAAGTCACATTGGCCGACGGTCGTATGCACAAGTCCATTGACCGGTGCATTGACTCTGTCCCCGTGTACTTCCGCCCGCTTGCACGCGAGGCCGTGTCCTTTGATATATTGGACACAAAGTTCGACATGATTTTGGGCATGTCATGGTTGTGTAGCGAGGACCACCCGGTGAACTTCTACCGCCGCACCGTTCACGTTCGTGACCGGAACGGGGTACTTGTGCCATGTATGGTCCCCCCACCTCATCCTTCGATTGGTTGTCACGTGGTCTCCGCAGCAAGCATTCGCAACTCCATCGCACGGAACGATGTGGAGGAAATGGGCATTTGTTTCTTGCACGCCCTCCCTCCTCCCGACGAGCCAGCGGCCGAACAGCCACCGGATCCACGCATTGTACAGCTTCTTGACTCCTATGGCGACGTCTTTGAAGCCCCCGCCGGGATCGTAAAGTTTGCTCTCCGCTAAATATCTTCTCCCGCCGTTGAACTCGTTCTTCATCAGCAGCCTTTGCTGCTGCCTCGTCGTGCTGGCGCTGCTGTTCAAGTGCCAGCAGACGTGCCTGCTCGGCGTCCTCTGCCTTCTTCTTTGCCGCTGTTGCTGCGTCATCCACCTGTCTCTTGGTTTCGGTACTCCAGGCCAGCATCCGGGCCTGGTAGGCCTCGTCTGTTTCCCCGGACCTCTGGTCCATGACGGCTGTTTGTGAACGCAACAGCATAGACCAGGCGGGGGCTGCTGACGTGGCATTGCTGTTGGCTGACGTGGCCTGCTGACGTGTCCTGCTGACATGGTCTGCTGACATGGCCTGCTGATGTGGCAACTCACCAATGCCGCCGCAGGGGGTACCCGGAGATAGATAGAGAAGGTAAGACCAGAGGGGGCAACAACATAGGTTGGGAGGGGTGGGTGGGATAATCGCCCAGATAAGGAGCCACTAATCAAAAAGAAAAGTTTGAACTTTGCAAAAAAAAAAAAATCGAAATAATAAAAAATCCCGAGTTTTGCAAGTTCAATAGGTCTCCGAACCTCCCTTGAAGTGCGAAATGATCAATGAGAAAAAAATTTCGACTTCAGACTGCAAATGATTTATAGAACCGACTAACAAAATCCTAGAACTATGGAAAAAAAATATTTTTCCGAAAAGAAATCAAATATTCGGACTTACTCAGACGAGAGTATTCGCAGTTTGGAAAATAATACCTGCAGGAGGGATTTTCCGTACCGTTTTCAGAAAAACGAATTTTGAAAAAAATATTCCGAATTTCTAAGTAACGGGAAATGCAACAGGAAATCGAAGTTTTCGAAAAGAAGGATATTCCGGATTTTCAACAATGAAATTTCGAATTTTCAGAAGAAAAACGAACATGGAAATTTCAGATGTTGCGCTAGTGCGATTTTCCACAACAGAAATAGCGAGAAAACAAAATCCAAGAAAAAAAAAAATGATTTCCGGCAGTAAGGTCAAAATCGTGATTTTGGGGGCTAACTAGTGTGCTCTAATCAATCTATCAAGACTTAATCAGCTACCTAGTCCCCGCACGCGTGTCAGATCAGGCTGTCCTGATTCACGTGCGGTGCTCCGATACCATGCCCAGTTGGGCGATGTACATACAAAACCGAGGATCCGCAATGTGATAAAAAGGACTGAATGGACCTTTGAAGGTTATATTTACACATTCAAACAGAGAAACATACATAATATGCACATAAACACAGAGTCCTCACTCCTATCTTGTGGACCATTGCCAAGCATTATGGTTTGACCATTTGGACCTTGGATCCCACCTCCGTGCTTATGTGCATATGCGGCTCTCTCTCTCTCTCTCTCTCTATTTTGATGTGACAATATATATCGTCACAAATATATCAATGCAGTGCAAGTAGAATCTCAACAAGCAATGTGCATTCCGATACATACGAATGGTGCTTTATAGCGCAGGGAAGACTTAGATACAAGACCTGACCTGACCGGGACTGACCTCCATCACATAGTACAAGATAGCGAAGCTGAGTGCTAGAAAGCCTAGAATACTAATGATTAGCTCAATCAATGTTTCAACGCAGACCAAACATACATCATGCTCATCCCAAGGTGTGAAGGGAGCCTGGCGCTATACACAGGGAAGAAGCGCCAGGTCCAGACATACACAGACGAAGAGGAGGGGATCAGACGAAGAGGAAGGGGGAGATGGGAAAGTCGTCAACACCAAGTCTCGTTACGAGTCCCAAATAATCCCTCTTCAAAATGTCTGAAGTCCAATGTCGAGTCTGGATCCGAATGTCACCAAGCTCTCTCTCTCTCTCTCTCTCTCTCTCTCTCTCTCTCTCTCTCTCTCTCTCTCGCTCGCTCGCTCATAGTCTGCTGATGCAGTGAAGTCAGACAGTGAGAGGGTGAGAACGAGATGGTGGACTGAGAAGAGGAAGAAGGAGAACTCTCTCTCTCTCACGATCCAAGTACTAATCTGTGAAGTTGACGCTGTGCTGCAGGTACCTCGAAGACGAAGCTGGAGCAACGCCGTTGCAGGTAAGTCCTCCTGGCCTCCGCCCAATCTCTCTCTCTCTAGTACTACTCTAGCTGCTATGGCGCCCAGCGCTGAAGACTATAGCTAACGCTACTACTACTCCTGCAGCGCTCCTCCAGAGTGCTGCTGCCGAATCCTGAAGACTACTGACTGCCTCCTGCCTGCCTGGACTGCACGTGAAGTGCCTGGCCAGTCCCTATAAACTACCCCCTGCCTGTAGGGCGGGCCAGTCTTATATAATGCTGGCCCGTCCAGGAGGCTGCTCTTGCCAATGCCCAAACGTGCTAGACCCTGAGGAAGCTCCTGGGAAGTTTCCAGGTAGCTTCTGGCTAAAGCCTGAGGAAGCTTCCGGGAAGTTTCCAGGTAGCTTCTGGCTAAAGCCTGAGGGCCTATAGGCCCTTGTTTTCAGGCTGTCAGGCTGAAACAGACTCGGGGCCTGTAGGCCCTGGTTTTCAGGCTGTCAGGCTGAAACAGACACGGGGCCTGAAGGCCCTGGTTTTCAGGCTGTCAGGCTGAAACAGACACGGGGCCTGTAGGCCCTGGTTTTCAGGCTGTCAGGCTGAAACAGACACGGAGCCTTAAGGCCCTGGTTTTCAGGCTTTCAGCCTGAATTTCAGGCTTTCAGCCTGAGGGACGCAGGGCCTGGAAAATGGCCCTCGTCTGCAGGCGCAGCATGTAACATACAACCTTGACCTTTCAGGACTGTAGCAGCTACGGCTTGACCTTTCAGAGTTGCAACAACTATGACCCCTACACAGGTATGACCCCTGCTCGACAGACCTACGGTTCAACCCCGATAGCTACACAGACCTATGACAGACAACATTCGGCTACCAAAACACAGGTCACAGGTTCAAAACACACAGGTGAGGTAAGGTCTAGGGATTGAGCCCTGGGATCTGCATTTGTTACTGCAACTGCGGAAATCGTTTCATCTTTCTCTTACTTGTCTTTGTTGCATTGTTGTCGTTGTGGTTGTTTTTTTTGTTGTTTGTTGTTTTCAACTTTTCGTTGTTTATGTTGTCATCTTTACCCAGTTGTCTTCATTCTTGTTGTTATCTTTGTCCCAGTTGTCTTCGCTGTTGTTGTCTATTTTGCCATTGTTGTTGTTGTGGTGGTTTGTGGTGGTTGTGGTGGTTGTGGCGGTTGTTGTGGTTATCATGGTAGTGGTGGTGGTGGTGGTGGTCATCGTTGTCCCTACACTTATAGAATCGATATTTGGCGCGCAACATTTGGCCGATCCCGGCGATCCGGGCCGCCCGCGGCCTACCGGCCGACGGCTCGGATTTCCACGCGATCTCAATACTTTAAGTCTTTAAGACAAAGATTGCGTGGCGAACCAAACCGTCCGCCTAGCCTCCGCCTATGTGTGTGTGTGTGTGTGTGTGTGTGTGTGTGTGTGTGTGTGTGTGTGTGTGTGTGTGTTTGTGTGGGTGGGTGTGTTGAGATAAACAGAGCCCCGCAAACGCGGCGAGCAGCATAACAGGGCATGCGTACACGTTTGCCTAAGAAAAAAGACAACACTTTTGCACAGAAGAATCCATACAACAGGAGAAATCAAAGCACCCATAATTGGGGTGAAACAAAGCTCTGAAGAGGAAGACAAGAGCAGTAAGGCAAAAAGACAACAAGGCAGGCAACAGACCAAATAACAAAAAAACAAAAGCGAAAAAAATAAAAACTGATGATAGATTGTTTCGTCAGAATTGCACCGACTCATCAGGAGGCTGAACCCTCGACAATCCGTGGAGTACCGGTTTTGGATGTTTTGGGTCATGAACCCTTTGACCCTTGTTGAAGGCAGATTGCCCACAAGCGGAACATAGCAGCGAGCGGCACCCGTGTGAAGCACCAGGCAACACACCCGAAGCCACTCAACCGCACAACACCAAAGACGACTGCAAGGAACAACACGTCAAACGGCGGACGGCAGCAAGAAAACAACCCTGCGAAGCACCAGGCAACGCACCAGAAGTCACTCAACTGCAGAACGACACAGACGACTGCAAGGAACAACACCGCAAGTGGAGGCACAACACAGCCCCCGTGTAATGAAGCACAAGGCAACAACCACACGACCACCACACTACACAACACACAAGCAAGGAACCCAAAAATGGACAGCTTGGAAGCAGCGCGGTGAAGCACAAGGCAACACGACTACCACCAACCAGACTGCACAGCGAACGTAACAGCACACAACGAACAGCACGTGACCCAAGCGGGATAGGCAGCAACGCAATGGTGACGCACAGACAGCACAAAGCAGCCCACACATCCAACACGGAGCAAAGCAGCACATGACCTACTCACATCACGGGTGAACACCGCAGACTGTTGGTTCCCACCACCCAATGAGCCAGGGAGTCACTCCGCCGAACATCCATCATCACCGACAGGCAACACAGACGCCCCGAACCGAGCAGCCCCCCTAAGAGTGCAGTTGGCCCTCCAAACGAGGGACCACCGACTGTTTGGCACTATTCAAGGGTGCTCAATTGGGCACACAAAAGAAGTTAGAAAAAATCACAGGAAGAACAGACAACAGAGAAAAAGACTGAAAAACATAACTGATTGTGTGTGTGTGTGTGTGTGTGTGTGTGAGAGAGAGAGAGAGAGAGATCGCGGCCCGCGCCACCACCTCCGGCCTCAGCCTCTGCCCACCTCCCCTCTGCCTCCCCCCGCCAAATCCTCTCTTTCCTCCCGCGCCTCCGCCACCTCCCCTCCGCCTCCTCCCGCCATCTCCTCCCGCCATCTCCTCCCACAATTTCCTCCCGCTAATTCCTCTCAGCCTCTGCCTCTCTATCCCCTCAGTGTGTGTGTGTGTGTGCGTGTGTGTGTGTGTGTGAGAGAGAGAGAGAGAGAGTCAGAGCGGCCTGCGCCACCGCCTTCGGCCTTGGCCTCCGCCCACCTCCGCTCGGCCTCCGCCCAACTCCCCTTTGCCTCCCCCTGCCAGATCCTCTCTCTTTCCTCCCCCGCCTTCGCCACCTCCCGTATGCCTCCTCTCGCCATCTCCTCCCGCCATCTCCTCCTGTGATCTCCTCCCGCCAACTCCTCTCCGCCTCTGCCTCCCTATCCCTTGTGTGTGTGTGTGTGTGTGTGTGTATATGAGAGAGAGAGAGAGAGAGATCGCGGCCTGCGCCAGCGCCTCCGGCCTCGTCCTCCTCCCACCTCCCCTCTGCCTCCTCCCACCAGATCCTCTCTTCCCTCCCCCGCTTCCGCCACCTCCCCTCCGCCTCAAGATCCTCTCTTTCCTCCCCCGCCTCCGCCACCTCCCCTCCGCCTCCTCCCACCATCTCCTCCGGCCATCTCCTCCCGCCAACTCCTCTCCACCTCCGCCTCTCTATTTCCTGTGTGTGTGTGTGAGAGAGAGAGAGAGAGTGAGCGGCCTGCGCCACCGCCTCCGCCCTCAGCCTTCGCCCACCTTTGCTCGACCTCTGACCACCTCCGCTCGGCCTCCGCCCAACTTCCCTTTGCCTCCCCCGCCAGATCCTCTCTCTCTTTCCTCCTGCCTCCACCACCTCCCATCTGCCTCCTCCCGTTGTCGAGCGCATCGGTCCGGCACTGCACAAGGCAAGGCGGTACCCTCCCGACCGTG